AGTTATTTTCGGTGATGGTCTTTGCTTCTCCCACACTCCAGCTTCCCTCCCTAATAAACCCCATTGTTGATACCATCACTGTGAGTCTATGAGTCAGCAAAGAATAAAATTAACCTCTTGCTGCTGGTGAGACTCTACAGGTACCATGGGACTGGGTTATGGGTATAGGCTTTTTATCTGCGTTCTGCTTTGGGACAATGAGGAGCTGTGCTCTTCTTACTCTCTCTGTCCCTTTCAGAGAGATGTCCATGGCCTTGTGCCTCTATGGCTTGTTTTCTCCTTTTTAGACAATACTGCTTCTCAAGAAAAAACAAACAAAAATGTTGTAGCAAATGTGGAAATCAATAGTGGTACAATGTGAATAGTGCCCTCTAGGGGGCAGTGGTAGTTCAGTGGTAGAAGAGCTGACTGCCTCTCTCCAACCAATGCACAGCTTCCAGCCATTAGCCAGTGGAGGCTTTCTCATTGCTGCTAAGCTGAACAGGTTTCAGTAGAGCTTTCAGACAAAGGTGGACTAGAAAGATAGGACTGGACATCTACTTCTGAAAAGAGACCAGTGGAAACCCTATGAATTACAACTTTCTAATGCATAATTGATGATGGGGATAGTGCAAAAGCAGCATTTCTCTCCATTGTGTGTGTGGTTGCCATGATCTGGGATCAACTTGCTGGCAGCTAACAACAGGGCTGTGTCCTGCACCTCACACAGAGATTCTATCCTGGATGGACCTCATCTTCATTGCCATCAAAACCATTTGACCTTTTTAAAAAAAAATCATTGACAACTTTATTATGCATATTTTCTCCAAAGTTTCCTTCTTTGAAATTATGTTTCATACAATCATTCCCATACATTTTGTGTTATAAAATGAATCACCCTCGGACTATACCCACTATTAGCTAGTCTTTTCAGGTCCCCTGTGGATCTTTCTCATTTCCTTTACTCTCTCCCTCCACACACTAAATTGTGTACTCTGAATATTCCCCTCTGCCCATCCTCACCTTTTTGCTCCCACCTCTTGCTTCCTTGGACTACATTCACGTTTTACTAGTTATCTCTCCACTTTTTACTATAATAGTCTTATTCAGTGTTTCTCCTTATGAGACTGAGTTAGTTCACTCAGCATAATCCTCTGTAGTGTCTCCCAAGTTAAGTGGTATTTTTCTAAATTGTTGCTCCTCAGTACTGCCTGGGAGTTCATCATGTGAACATATAACAATTTCTCTGTTGTTGTTGGCCATTTGGACTGTTCTTGCTATGGTGAATAATGCTGCTTTGAACATCAGTGTACAAACCTCCATTTGTTTTTCACCTCTAATTTCCTTGGTGTATATATATTCCTAGTACTGTTCTTTCTCTTCCTGAAAAATGGGTGGTCTTGATCTTTAGACTAAGGACAAAGGCCAAGGCCTGCTCAAGGGTGTGACTTTAAAATCCT